CTCTGAGGTAAGGGTTATTACCATCAAGGAATCAGTACACCCTCAGGAAAGGCAGAGCGCTCAAACAGCACAAAACACACTGTGACTGAGAATCAGTAATATTGTTTGTATGTTAAAATACCTGCAGTGAAATGCAAAGGTTGTTTTTATTATAAAACTAAAATAGTTACTCAAGTTACAAAGCAATAGAAGATAAAAATATTAACATTTGACTCTGTAATTTCCATGTGTGTCTTTTTTTGCCACAAACCAGCTGTAGATCTAACTGTGGCAATGATGTTTTTAGTTTCCTCCTAAAATATCTTTTTGACCTAATTAACGTGTGTTCCCCTACCAGTTAAACCATTTGCATTTCAGTAGCTAAAGCACTACTTTGTTTGATTAGAAACCACAGCCTCTTCCGTTTTCACTCTCATTTATTAAAACACATCATGGTAAACTAAGCCATTTGGATTTCAGTCTGGATAGGTGACATTTTAACCACTGCCCTTCAACCTTCTCTCTCTCTGTCAATCTTGGCCAAGTCCTACATCATAGGACAGCAAGAGGGCAAAGAGAGGAATGGAGCAGGCATGGAGCCGGGGGTTATGCGTCACTGAAGTCAGCGACTTCTCTGATGCATGAGCCTGTCACGTGCCAATCAAACCTTCTGCAGGGTTATGTATGACCTTGCCCAAGACAATAAATCCTTTCTGAAGTCTTGGTCCTTAGCCTAAACAAACCCGCCTTCCCCACTTTTCACTCTAATACTAATAAACACAGCACAGTGGGGCCGAAAAGCTGGGGGACTGGACAAGGTACCAGTGTCACTTCTTTTGGACTAAAGAAGCAATGCACTTTTAAACCCAGGGCTAGCCATAAAGGAGAAAGGGTTCTGTATTATATTCCTATTGGTGGAGCTGGCAAGTTTGAAAGAAACTGATAATAATTACAGCTGCCCTGTAATAGACCTAGCGTGAGCCAGGGAAAGGGTTTGAGCAAAGGCTAGATGGTTACACGTCAGGAATATCACTGATGTCCTTTCTGCATGGACTGTGAAGCTGGACTCACTGACTTCACAAACCTTATCAGTCTGCATTTAAGATTAATTTTATGTTGAAGAGAAATACATGCACAAAGTTTAAAAAGTCAAAGAACTCTACGGGGCTTATAATCAGGGTGACTGCATTCCAGTTTTCCAGGAACATCTCTGATTTATGCTTATTTTCCGTGTAATTTTAATAGTGTCCCCTTTCACCCTCATTAGTGTCCCAGTCGGATGAAAAACTACTGTCTCAAGTCCAACCTCATCCCCCCCAGTTTTTATTCCCCCAACTACCCTGAATTCATTTAGAATTTTTCTATATGGCTTCAAATTTCTAAAACAAAAAAAAAGCAAACAAAGAATGATTATACTACTTGTATCAGTTAAAAATTGCCTTTGAAGTCAAAGGGAGAGGAAAGCATTGACTTAAACAAATAGAGCTGCCTGGATGGTGCATTGTTTGAAGACTTATTCATCTAAAAATGACTTTTCCTCTTTCACACTTTGTTGGGATTTCATATCCATTCAAATTCTCAACAAAGTGGGCCTGAATAAGATGTAAGTGCATATTGCAAAGTCAAAGGATAACTACTCAAAAATTTTAAAAAGAAGTATAATTGATATGTTAAGAGGAGACAAAATGGGATCACATAAAATGCTCAACTAAAACCATACAAGGAAAAAGAGAGAGGAAGACAAAAGAAAAAGTAAAGACAATGAACAGAAAACAATAAGAAATAAAATAGATACTACCCAAAATATATAAACAATCACTTTAAATGTCAAAGGTCTAAATGTATAAGTTAAAGGATATGGATTGTTATGAGGAATTAGAAAACCACACCCAAGTGTATTTTGTGTACAATAAACTAATTTGGAAGACATAATTATTTGGAAACTAAAGGGATGGAGAAAGATATGCCATGCTACCACTAATTGAAAGACAACGCAGCCTTCAGAACAAGGGAAGTCATCAGTGGTTTCCAGAGGTTCAAGAAGAGAGGAGGGATGACTGGGTAGAGCACAGGAAATTTAGGGGGGCTGTACCCTATTCTGTTTGATACTGAATACATGACATCATGTACCTGTCAAAGCTCACAGAACTACACAACACAAAGGATGAGCCCTGATGTAAACTATGGACTTTAATTGATACTACTGTGCCAATGTTGGTTCATCAGTGGTAACAAATGCACCACACTAACGCAAGGTGTTAATGGTAGGTGACACTTTATGGGGCGTACATGTGAGCCCAGTGCCTGTACACGTGAGAACACGTTCTATTTCAGAGTACAGGTAGGAAAAATGGTTTTCTAGAACCTGCTAGATTCCCCTCCCCCAGCCCAACTGATCTGCCCTGGTTGCTAGGTACCTGTTTACTTAGGAATAGAACACTCCGTCGTGGTCAAGTATGGCACACAGGGCACTGGCACTCAGAGACAGAGCTGAGCGCCCAACCAGTCCTGGAGGGCCACGTGCCTGCCATGCATTCGCCTTTCAGCTAGTCCTGCGGCACCTGAGCAGTGTTCTGCTGGTGATTCCTGAAAGCTTGAGACAGTCCCACGTGCCTATGCATTTCCCTGGAGGATCCTGCTATGTGCTGTGGTGGTGGTTTTGACAGTGAAGAGATGACACACTTTAAGAATTGTGAAGGTGCTAGGCAAAAAGTGTTCTGACTTCGACGAAGTCTGTGAAAGGAACGGTGTAGTGAGAATAATGGGCCAATGGCACAAGCCAATGACTCTGTCAGGCCGTGTGGGGTGAAGATTTGCAACCTGTATGAGAAGATGGAGGGACACATGAGCAAGAAATTATAGAAAGGAGACAACCTTCCATGCCAAACAAAAACAAAAAACAAAACTCAAGAAAACTGGAACACAGCCATGTCGACTGAAAATTCATTGAGTTAAGGAAAGAAAATGATTGCAACAGGCAAATGCTGGCCAAGGTTGAGTCCAAGTCCCAGCCTTTCCCAGATGGTCCTTTTTCTCCACAGAGGACCGAACGTGTCAGGGGATCCCCGGGATCATGAGCCCCCTCTCCCCCAGGAAGGAGGAGGCTTATGCAGTAAAAGCTCAAGAACCCAGGGTCACCTGCAGGTTTGACGCAGTTTCCACAGCAGCTGGGTCTTGAACACCCACAACCACAAGAGGACATCCGCATTGTTTTCTCTTTCAAGTACGTTTGATTGGCCTCTTCTTAGTTTAGCTACTGTTATTTAATTGATGCTACAAATCCTCTTACTCAACTAGATGTAGCATTATAATTTTAAGTTAGTATTTTAAAATAAAGATTCCTTTTTAAAATCCTGTTGTGAAATGTCATGTATAATAAGGTAATAATTTGTAAGAGAAACTTGGACATGAAAGTTCGTGTATTGCCTATGGTTGCCTCCCACCTGCTCTAAATCTGGGGCCCTTACCAGTTAGACTCCAGCGGGTAGAGCAGCAGGTGGGAAAGCACATGTCCTGGAATCTAAGAGCTTTGAGAAACGGGGTTATTTATTTATTTTTGGAAACCTTTTGAATTCTTGCATCATCACTTTTTTTCTGTTCTACTGAATCACTCCCATTAGCAAACATTCTGCAATACCTCCCATTTTTAAAAAAGTCCTCCCTTGACCCCATATTAACGCCAGTTTTCGCCTGATTTCTCTGCTTCCATTCACAGAAAAATTCAAGAGTTGACTGTACTCACTATCTCTACTTCCCCTCCTTCCTTTTTCATTCCAACCAGGGTTAGGGTTAGCGTTAGGGTTGGGGTCAGGGTCGGGGTCAGGGTCAGGGTCAGAGTTAGGGCCAGGGTTATGGTTAGGGTCAGGGTCAGGGCCAGGGTCAGGGCCAGGGTCAGGGTCAGGGTTAGGGCCAGGGTTAGGGTTAGGGACAGGGTCAGGGTCAGGGTCAGGGTCAGGGTTAGGGCCAGGGTCAGGGCCAGGGTCAGGGTCAGGGTTAGGGCCAGGGTTAGGGTTAGGGACAGGGTCAGGGTCAGGGTCAGGGTCAGGGCCAGGGTCAGGGCCAGGGTCAGGGTCAGGGTTAGGGCCAGGGTCAGGGTTAGGGACAGGGTCAGGGTCAGGGTCAGGGTTAGGGCCAGGGTCAGGGTCAGGGTCAGGGTCAGGGTTAGGGCCAGGGTCAGGGTCAGGGTCAGGGTCAGGGTTAGGGCCAGGGTTAGGGCCAGGGTCAGGGTCAGGGTTAGGGCCAGGGTCAGGGTCAGGGTTAGGGCCAGGGTCAGGGTTAGGGCCAGGGTCAGGGTCAGGGTCAGGGTCAGGGTTAGGGCCAGGGTCAGGGTCAGGGTCAGGGTTAGGGCCAGGGTCAGGGTCAGGGTCAGGATCAGGGTTAGGGCCAGGGTTAGGGTTAGGGACAGGGTCAGGGTCAGGGTCAGGGTCAGGGTCAGGGTCAGGGTTAGCGTGGAGCATGGAAAGCTGGGTGCTTGCAGTGGGCTGAGCTGACAGGGTATCTGCTAGGAGAGAATGTAAGGAGATCCTGAAAACGAGCGGCCCAAAGGTTAGATGGACTCTTCTAGGAGAAACTGAACAGGCAGCCCTGGAAGGAGAGAGTGATGCCGCCGCCAGAGGGCGCCCTGAGGCGAGGAGCGGGGGCCGGGCGGGGGAGAGGTGGGGCCCGGCCGAGGGCTGGGGCGGCGGATGAGCCCTGATCAACTCTGGACTGGGCTGCGGGCCCTCTCTCCTCACTTCCGGTTCCGCTTCCGCTTCTCAGGTCCCGGAGCTCCGAGGCCGGCTCCCCGCCAAACCGGGACGAGCCGCCCGCCGACCCGCAAGAATGCGTTACCTAGTGCCGCGGTCACGGCCGCCGTCACAGGCGCCCCGACCCCGCCCCGGCCCGCTCAGTCCCTCTCCGGCTCCCGCACCTGCCCGCGAGCTCCCCGGGGCCGCAGGTGCGGGCCACGGCGGAATTCCACGCCCCGCGAGGCCCGCCAGCTCTGGGGAGGGACGGGGAGGCTGATGTCCCAGGTGCGTCCGAACCCGAGGCTGCGCTCGGCGGGGCGCTGGTGGCCGGGGGCGCGGCCTGGGCGCTCCTGGGGGTCCCCCTCCAAGCCCGAGGGCGGGGTGGGGTTCTCACCCTTTGGGGTCCCGCTCTGCAAAGGGCTCCCCTCGCTCAGGACACCCGAAGTCTTCGGAAGCACCGCTGTTGACCTGCTGAATAATGATTCCTGCTCCATTGGGGGGACCATGGGGGGCGCGTTGATCAGCTAAGTTTTCCTGAACGTTTACGGCTGAATGTGAGGCCAGAACTGAATGTCAGCCCGTGTCCGCGAAGTGGAGCCCTTGTAGGACGGACCTACAGGCGTTCACACTACTCGGGAACATCTTCCCCTTTGCGGATCTGTTCCCGTTGAAATTCATCCCCATAGTAATGATTGATGTGCCACCGCAGGGTCCACGGAGGGGCTGTCGGGAGGAAGGAAGCCCCTGGCTCCTCTGCCGCGTTGGGGTGGACAATTTAGCAAAGCCTGTTTGCTGCCTGCCCTGAGGGCGGGTCCCTGTGACAGCGGCCGAGTCCCCCGCTGCCAAGTCGAGTGTGCCCCCCTCCTCTTTTCCAGATTGTGCCTTTTTAGCCAGGAAGCATGGAGGTGATCCACCACCGGCCCTGCTGCTGCAGGGAGCGCGAAGGAGCTGACCTCCTGTCAGACACCTTTTACTCCAACGAGGTGCACACGCCGCTGCAAGCAACTCCTCGCCCAACTGCCTCGGAGGACAGGTACAACAAAAACTAGAGAAAGCAAACCCTTTCTTATTAAAGGGTTTTAATATGCTTGTATATGTAAGAGAAAAAAAAAAAACCACTTACGGTTATGGGCTCTTCTGTTTATCACACGATTGGGAAAGCATAACATGACAATTACCTAAACTTGAAAGTGCTCACATCTGGTAGGAACTTGATAAAAAGTAAGTGGGTGTGTATTTTTAAAAGGTAGACATCAAATTCACCCATTGCATTGTAAAACTCTAGGATGATTGGTTCCCTCATTTGAAAATTAATCTGTTTCAAACAATTTTATTCTATGACACGATCGGGTTAAAAATACTCCCAGGATCTTGTTCATAGTTGCACCTAAATTTTTGCTTTACCAAATTTCCTGTAACACAATAACTGCGGATTATGATTAAAATTGCATTTACTGTATAATGAGTCATTACTATGTGTGGGTACTCTACCAAATGCTTTTTATGTGAGAACTAGAGGCCCAGTGCACAAATTCATGTACCACTGGGGTTCCTCACCTGGCCTGCAGGATTGGGCCGAAACCAGCTCTCTGACATCCCCCAAGGGGATCCTGGATTGTGAGAGGGCACAGGCCAGGTCAAGGGACCCCACCAGTCCACAATTGGGGCCAGGGAGAGACAGTGGGAGGGCTCTAGGGCGTGTCCAGCCCATCTCTCACTCAGTCCCTATAGGCCAAACCCCAGCAGCAAGCTAACCTACCAGTCGAAGCATCTGCCCCTTGATGGTCAGTGCACATCATAGCAAGCGGTTGAGTGGCCTTAGCATATCATTAGCATATTACACTTGAACGGGCGACCGGTCGACCAGACACTGAGCATATTATGCTTTTATTATATAGGATTCTTTTAATCCTCACAACAACCCTAAAAGATAGTACTATTACTGTTCCCATGTTATGTATGAAGTAATAGGTAAAACAAATTCTCCAAGATCTTAGTGCCAGCTTTTCTGCATTGTATTTACTTGAATCATTTTGAGGGGGTGGGGGAATTTCACACTTGGATGGGTGAAAAACTAGCCCGTGTGGTTGTTTTGTTTCTTTGTTTTGTTTGTTTTTATTTTTTAATTTCATTTCATTTAGAATTATTTCTTTAAGACCTCTTCACTTAAGAATTATTTCATTAAGAAATCAGACAGCAAGTCTGGAACATCACTACCTCACAGGAAGTCCATTTGGAATGTTTCTGATTATTAGATAATTTTCTTCCTACTGAGAAAATTCCCCCTCTTAATTTCCACCTGCTGACCCTGGTTCTTCCCTCTGAAGCCATGCAAAATAAGAAAAATCAGTCATCTCTATGATAACAGCCCTTCAAGAGTGTGAAGATTCTTTTGGCCCTAGAAGAGTTCTCTTTGTCAGACTAAACACTGGCTCTCAATAGACTTGACTCTTCTTTCTTCTTCCATCTCAGCTTTCACAATCTTGATCTTGCATAGATCTGTTCCGGTCTGTAAACATGCTCTTTATATGAAAAGCAAAAAGAAGGCTTTTTTCCTAATTATAAAACTAATACCTTCCTTATGAATGCTTTAGAAACCATGGAAATCCATAAAGAAAACAAATTTCCCATTGTTTGACAGAAAGAAAAATTAGTACTTCCTTTGTACAGAATACCTCTGTTCTTTATCTAGAAATGACCACCGTTAACATCTCAACATGTGTTCTCTTCATTTTTTTAAATTTAAAGATCATATTCAATGTGTTTTTTGTAAACTATTTTCACTACATGAAAATGAATATTGTCATATTTGTGGAGAGAGGGCTCAGCTCACTTCTGAATTAGTCCTTTTTGTACCGTCTTTTCTACTATTAACCTGATTCCAAAAAGCGGTTGTCAGCCCAAAATTCCTCTCAGCTCCAAGGGCCATCCGATTAGGCAGGGCTTCCCCTGAGTCAGGGAGAACCATTAGCAGATCATGAGTGATCTGGGGATGAGCAGTTGGCTTAAAAGCAGCATTGTGAGGTTTTATACTTGGCCAAAAGGTTTCGGAGTAGGAATTTAGGTCTGCCATATCTGATTGATCTTTATCCCCTCAAAAGTACTCTAAGGCTTTTCACTGAAATTTTGATCCCTTCTAGCTAAATGATCTTATGGTTGATTGATTTATAATTGGCTCCAATACCCTTTAACTGGCATGAAATGTAAGAGAAGCATCTTTAAGAAAGTAATTGCTTTTTGTTAACTGACTATAAAGTAAACACATGTCCTAGGTATAAACATGTTCCTGGCTTCTGATTACTAAAACTTGCTTTCTCTTTTACTCCATGGACTTCTTTCCTTTCATGGTCCCTAAGTGGGAAAGTCAGGATGATCATATATTCTCAGAACCCCTCCTGTTAACTCCCTCTCAAGAATCAGCCGGGCAGCTTACAGAATGAGAAGTTGGCTTTTCTCTCCAGGTTGTCATTTGGAACTGCTCTGGAAAGTGTCATCAAGAGAACACTGATTGGTACCTCTGTTCTATCAATGCTGAGGCTTATTTCTTCAGACCAGGTTAAGGGTCAGTAACTCCCAACTCAAATCTCAAAAGCAAAACAAAACGAAAAGCTCCTAGCTTCTAGAAATTACCCTTCATAATGGTAAGGATGAACATGAGTCCTAGCACATGTTAGCTCTCAGCAGCTTAATTTTCTAAATATGGATGTGCTTAAGGGGATGTCTTTTTTTTAATATCATAATGTATTTTGAACTCAGTTGGTAATTTTAACAGCAGTGCAAAATTATTTCCTCACATCAGACTACTTTTTTTTTTTCTTTCCAGAATAGGTAATGCAGTCTAGCACCATTGTTACCCAATGGTATACAGACAGGGTACATCAAAATCACCTGAGAAGCTATCTAAAAATGCAGATTCCTGGGTACTCTCTATAGATGTTCTAGCTCAGTAAGTTTGAGGTGGGTCTAGGGAATCTGCATTGTAAGAGTTTTCTAGCTTTTTTTGAGAACGATTGGGCTAATGGAAAGCCTGAAAACAGTTAGACAATCAGGATTATGGTTCTGGCTCACCACTGTCTTAGGGCAACTTAATCTTTATTCTTCAGTTACGTTCTTCACTGGTAAATTTTGAAGCAATTACAGTAGTCATTAATACAGGGTAGGGCAAAAGTAGGCTTATAGTTATTTGTATGGAAAATACTACAATAAATAATCCTATCTAATAAAAGAGAAACATGGTAATTAGCCGTACGTCCACTAACCTTCTCATTGGCTAATCAGGGTGATATGCAAATTAACTGCCAGCCAAGATGGCGGCCGGCAGCCAGGCAGCTTGAAGCGAACATGAGGCTTGCTTGCTTCAGTGACGGAGGACTCCAACGTTCCCCACCTGCCACTGCAGGCCTCTGAGCTTGCAGTTTGAAACATTGTTACAAATATAGAAGCTAAACAAAACCCCAGAAACCTGCATTCAGGCAGCCGGGATCTCAGAGCTGGAGTTGAAACAGTGTTTCGATTATAGAACCCAAACAAACCAGATACCTGCTTTCAGCAGCGGAGGCCTAAGAGCTGGAGCCAAGCCTCAGAGCTAAAGCTGGCCCAGAATAAAAAAAAAGAAAAGAAAAAAAGGAGCGGTTGGGAGCTTCAGTCACCCGCCAGCCTGAAAACAGCCTTCAGCCCCTCACCCAGACTGGCCAGGCACCCCAGTGGGGACCCCCACCCTGACCCAGGACACCTTTCAGGGCAAACCAGCCGGCACCCACCCGTGCACCAGGCCTCTATCCTATATAGTAAAAGGGTAATATGCCTCCCAGCACCAGGATCAGTGTGACAGGGGGCAGTGCCCAAACCCCCTGATCGCCCTGCGGCTCTGTGTGTAACAGGGGATGGGGCCACAACCTCCCTATCCGCCCTGCTCTATTCGTGACACGGGGCAGCGCCCAAACCCCCTGATCGCCCTGCGGCTCTGTGTGTGACAGGGTACGGAGCCCCAACCCCCCTGATGGGCCCTGCTCTGTGAGTGACAGGGGGCAGCGCCCCAACCCCCTGATTGGCCCTGCTCTGTGCGTGACAGGGGGTGGTGCCGCAACCTCCCCATCAACCCTGCCTTGAGTGTGACAGGGGGCGGTGCCCCAACCCCCCAATGGGCCCTACCCTGAGCGTGACTGAGGGTGGCATCGCAACCACCCGATCTGCCCTGCTCTGTGCATGACAAGGGGCGGCGCCCCAACTCCCGAATCAGCCCTGCTCCCCAATGAGCCTGACCAGGGGCTGCACCTAGGGATTGGGCCTGCCCTCTGCCACCCGGGAGCAGGCCTAAGCCAGCAGGTCGTTATCTCCCGAGGGGTCCCAGACTGCGAGAGGGCACAGGCCAGGCTGAGGGACCCCCCCTTCCTCCGGAGTGCACAAATTTTTGTGCACCAGGCCTCTAGTAAGTAATAATACAAGAAGAAGCTGGTTTGCTTTTGCCTCACCCTGTATATATACTCAGTTGATTGCTTTTTAAAATATTAATAAATTGATGGTGTACTTTTGTATTTCTTCCATTGAAAATTTAAGAATGACAGGTACAGCTATTAAGAATCACAGATGTCTATATCCTTTTTCCATTCGGTTGACATCTTCTGACCTCTAGCACAAGCATGTCAAACTCAGAGGCTAACACGGGCCAAATAAACAAGGTTTAAGTTTATGTGGGCCGCAAAAACACAAAAGCTTCAATTTTCATAGAAACATACGTTTATTTCGATACAGACATACTGAATACAAAAAGCTGAAATAAATTAGTAATCATTAACATAAAATAATCGAACATTTTAATAAAAGTTAACATTTTTTCTTCAACATTAATTTCCCAGACACTGAATAACTGTGCAAATTAATAAGCGTAACGCAAATAAACCTATTTTTCTTGTTCTCCGAAAGTGAACTATTTATGTTGCACACACCAAGCAAGTCAGTACAAGACTAATGACGTGGCAATCGGCTGCTAAAATATTCACTGCTAGTATTAGTGGAGAGAAATGTGTGCCTGCATGTATGGCACGTAAGGGAAATGAACGCAACAGGATTATAGTAATCAGTCATTAACAAACGTTGTAGTTCGTTATAAATAATTATGTATAACAGGATAGTGTAAAAATTAAGTTATGAAATTTTTATTGAAACGTTTCTTACATACCGCTATGTTGGCTGGGCCGTAAAAGTATTCATTGTGGACCACATGTGGCCCATGGGCCGAAAGTCTGACATGCTTGCTCTAGCAAGTTGTCTGTTCATTAGGGAGACAAACATATTAATTAAGGAAGTGCCTTGACAATTGTTTCAGATTCCATTATACGTTCCCATTTTGTTTCTGGATTCATTCCATTGCTTTCTGATTACTAAATATTTTTTTGACTATTAGCACTCTGCCAACTAAAAATTAAAGTATCTTTGTTCTGAGCTTTCCTTTAATCATGCCTTCCAATGATCACTGCTGGCTAAATTAAGCCTCCCAAGATTGGAATGTAATATTCAAAATTCTGGAAAGAGACATATTTGTGAGTATACTAAAAACAACTTAATTGTACGCTTTAAATGGATGAGTTATGTGGCATGTGAGTTATAGCTCAATAAAAACTTTTAAAAGATGTAAGCATACATACTACAACTATTATTGAAAAAAGAAAAAAAAACAACAACTACAGATAATCTATAAGCCCTCAGGAATTTAACCTCCTTCCCTCAGCAGTCCAATGATGCCTAAATAACCAGTCTCTATCATCATCTACCCAGCACTGAGAATTCTGTAATCTGAAAATATAATCTAAAAATAGTTTTGAAGCTGTAGGAATTTTAGTTGTTTGTCTTAGCCGTTTGGGCAGCTCTAACCAACTAGCACAGACCAGGTAGCTGGGTAACTCGTAAACAACAAACGTATTTCTCACAGTTCTGGAGGCTGGAAGTCTAGGGTCGTGGCACCGGCAGGTTCGTGTTCTGGTGAGAACCTTCTCCCCGGTTCATCGCTGGCACCTTCTTGCTGTATCTTCACCTGGTAGCAAAGCTAGCAAGCTCTCTGGGTCTCTTCTGTAAGAGTGTTAGTCCCATTCATGAGGGCTTCACCTTCATGACCTAGCCACCTCCTAAAGGCCCCACCTCCTTAATATCATCACAGTGGGCATTAGGATTTCAACATAAAAATCTGGGGGGACACAAATATTCAGACCATAGAATTCCATACTGAAGCTATTTTAAAAGTCTCTCTTTTTTCACAGGTATCAGGAATTGAAGGAGTCGCTCCAACCATGCAGGCTTCCATGGGGTGCTGACAAGGAATATGGTGGGATGATACCCATTTCACTCCCTGAGGAACACAGGCCAAAATGTGACCCCCTCCATGCCATGGGCAAGGGACATCAGCACTATGGATATGGTGGAGATACCTGGCCAAGGTAAGTAATCTTTCTGCCTTTCACACAGGGGTATTTATTTTTCATTTTTATTTCTATTGTGAGTCCTTTCTAATTTAAATCTGCCCCCAAACTTATTTCTTTGACTATTTATAAGAAGACACAGATGGAAAAACTAATTATATAATATCTAATTGTGAAGTCAGTAAAAAAAAAAAAATCTGTGTTTATGGATGTCTGCTGTCCTTAGAGATGTTCAAGTGTTATTATCAGAAATTTTGATTATTAATTTAATTCCCTTGCTAATCTCATTTTATCTAAAACTAAATGGGAATATCCTGAGAGATTTAATTAAAAATGTTTTTGCTTGAGCAAATAGCTGGCCTAATGTGTACAGATGTTCTTGAATTTTTGGAACTTTTGATTTCTAATTTGTTCATGAATCTGTAGTTATTAGAATCTATTGGGCATTGTTTTCAGTTATTAAAATATCTAATAATTTATAAATCTTAAAGTCACTCAGTAACTTTATGTAAAACTGGTTAAAACTGAAGAGAAAGCAAAGATAAATCTGAGCAGTAAATATAATGTCACATGAATTATTTGCTAAAAATTATGAAATTTATTAAAAATAAAATCCATCAAACTTTCATACACAGCTTACTTACTCCTGCTTTCTCTAGCAATCTTGGTTACCTAGTTTACTAATAAATAATCTAGCTAACTAACTTGTTGTTCTAAAGCAGTTAAAAGAAATTAGAAAAGACAAGTCAAAGCTAGAGAGAGAAACAGTAACAACAGGAACATGTGGCAGCCAATGACCGTTTCAAAGCCTAAGTAAAGCAGTAAAAAGCAGACAAATGAAAATGTGCTCACCTCCTCAAAAGGGAAGACCCAACATCTCATCAGTTCCTACATCCAGCTCCAAGTCTAGGATCTCTGTGTACGTTCACCCCTGTCTAGTTCGGTCATAATCTTGTCAGGATAGTCCACATGTCTGCACTTAATAAACCTATCACCAGCACACCCTATATGAAATAATAAGGAAAAAGTAAAAATTAGTGAATGTATAAAAGTATATAGGACACAACAGGAAGAAAATATGGAATGTGACTAGACCTTATTTCTACAGCTGGCATGAGGCTCTTATGTTATAATTTCCTTCCTCCACTACCCATCCAAGTTCCCTTGCCCTCAGCCAGTACATGAGCTGGTAGTTCATTACCTGATGGGACAACCCCAAATTCTGTTCCTGAGAGATCTAAGCTCTTAGTGTGAGGCTGCTACAGTATTCCATTAATTCTATGCCACTGGAAGCAATGCTAGGAGGTGTCAAAAGCTTATTTAGGTTCCAGAAATACTCCTTTCCCCCCTGCATTGTATAGCAGCAGTCCTCTTGTCCTTGATGTTAAGGATCAATCATCCCAGCCTACTTGGTACAGTCCTTTCTTGCCTGTTTTCTCCAGAGTCAAAAGGAGCCCCAATTACCTCATCATCCCTTCAACTTCCAGTTCAACGGGACTGTTGTTGTGTTCTCTTGATGGAAGCACTGCTCTCTCGAACTCTAGACCAGCATCGCCCCAGGGGCGTGCAGGAAGTAAAAGTTAGTTCTCAAGTGTAACAGGAAGAAAACAGTCAGAGGCAGTCTCCCACTTACTCCCTGTGCTTTTTAGGCCAGGCATTCTGTCGCTGGGGGAAACTATTGGTCAGTAGTTCAGTGCATGTGCCACACTCCAGGACAACACTCAGCCATAACCGAGTCTTCAATAGGCTATTCTACCATTCTGCAAATCTGGTAAGACCATTGCACCTTTTAAATTCAACCCTTGCCTCTCTGGCAGGTGTGGCTAGTTGGTGCTTCCTCCCATACACTGAATGATCACGGGTTCAATTCCTGCTCAGGGCACAGGCCCAGGTTGTGGGTTTGATCCCCAGTCAGGGTACATGTGGGAGACAACTAATCGATGTTTTTGACTTTTAAAAGAAAAATCGTATCTAAAATGTTTTTCCTACCACCAAGAAAAAAAATACATTCTTGTCTATTTTATTTTAATATTTGTATGTATTTCTCTCAATTCCTTTGATTTTTAACCATCAGAAGTTATCTTTTTGAGTAGTGTGAAATACTATTCAGTTATGGCTGAGTGTTGTCCTAAAGAGTGTGGCCATGTGCTCTGAACCAATTACCAATAAGTAGTTTCCCCAAAGACAGGATGCCTGCTCTAAAAATGTCCTCTCAACTCTGCTGTGAACCTAAAACTGCTCTGGAAAAAAAAATCTTTTTAAAAAATCTATAAGGCCCACCCCACCAATCCCAGTCTCTTTCCTGGAGAGAATTGCAGTCACCACTACCCTGTATCTCCTTTCACACCTTTAGTTTACAGAATTATATGGGCACCCATTGAAAATATATGGTATTATTTTATACTAGAGGCCCAGTGCACAAAAATTTGTGCATTCGGGTTGGTCCCTCAGCCCGGTGTGTGCCCTCTCGCAGTCTGGGACCCCTCAGGGGATGACCACCTGCTGGCTTAGGCCCGCTCCGTGGGGGGATTGGGCCTAAGCTGGCAGTCAGACATCCCTTTGGCAGCCCGGGAGCCCTCGGGGGATGTCCACTTGCCAGCGGGGAGCAGACCTAAGCTGCAGTCAGACATCCTTAGTGCTGCTGAGGAGGCAGGAGAGGCTCCCACCACGACCGCTGTACTGGCAGCCATCAGCCTGGCTTGTGGCTGAGCAGAGCTCCTCCCATGTGAGAGCGCCCTGACCACCAGAGGGCAGCTCCTGCATTGAGCGTCTGCCCCCTGGTGGTCAGTGTGTGTCATAGTGACCAGTCATTCCCAGTCATTTTGCTGTTAGGGTCAATTTGCATATTACCCTTTTATTATATAGGATGTGGATACATTTGATATATAGTATTAGGCAAGTTAGTTCTCTTTATCTCTATATAATCTAGAGATTATAAATACAGATCAATCTCATTCTTTTTAATTTCTCAGTGTTCCACAACATGGATACATCATAGATTACTTAGCCATTCTCATAATTTTTTTTTTTTGCATTAATTATAAGTAATGAATATGTTTGTACAGAAACGTTTCTCTAGGGAAAATCTGAAGTGGAAGTTTTGGGTCACAATATATAAATATTTTTAATCTTAGTAGATAGAGCCCAAGTGCTTTATATTCTCTTGGTAGTAGCTAAAAGTATCCATTTCTCCACACTCTTGCCCAGCTGTATTATAGTATCAAACTATAATTTTTGCCCATCTAAATAGTATCTTGGTTATCAGAATGCATTTCTCTAATTAGGTTGAGAAATTTTTTCTTAGGTATAGCCATTACATTTCCTTTTCTGTTCTTATTTTTTCTCCATTTTCATAGTTTGTCTTTTAGCTATAGATTTTATTAGTTCTTTATGTTCTGGATATTAATCCTTTACATATCTTTATTGCAAGTATTTCTTCCAATCTATGTTTTGTTTTGAGTTTTAAATATGTTTTTATTGATTTTTAGAGAGAGAGGAAGGAAGAGGGAAAGAGAGAGAAATATTGCTCAGCTGCCTCCTGCATGCCGCTTACCAGGGATGGAGCCTGCAACCCAGGCATGTGCCCTGACAGGGAATTGAACTGGTGACCTCTCAGGGCACACCAGCCAGGGTTCCAATCTGTTTTATTAGAACTTTTTATGCTGTCCTGACTTCACGTTTTTCATTTGATGTTATTGTATTTACTTTTGTTACTTTTATTAAAATAAAAATATTATTTAAAATGTTTTTCCTATCACCAAGAAAAAAATTCATTCTTGTATATTTTATTTTAATAATTGTATGTAGTTCCTAGTTCTTTAGATTTTTAATCCATCTGAAACTATCTTTGAGAGTAGTATGAAATATAAATCTATTTTTTTCCAAATAGCTATTGAATTTTTCCTGCATTGTATATTGAAAGTAAATCCTCCTCCGCTGATATAAAATGCCTCCATTTTGCCCAGCCCAAGTTGCTCAGTTGGTTGAGCATCTGCCTGTGTACCAAAAGGTTGCTGGTTCGATTCCTGATCAGGGCACATACCTGGGCTGTGGGTTCAGTCCCCACTTGGAGTGTATATGGGAGGCAACCGATCAATGTTTCTCACATCAATGTTCTCTCTCTCTAAGCATGTCCTCAGGTGAAGATTAAAAAATAAAATAATACAATAAAGTGCCACCTTTTCATATACTGAATTTCCCAATACACATGGTTGTATTAGTCTATTTGCTATTTGCCTTTTCCTGTCTCACTGTTACATTGTGTTAATTTGAAAAAGTGTTCAATTTAATTTTTTCTTTCTTTTCAGAAGGCTTCCTATTGAACAGTTCTATTATTTGACACAGAACAAAAAAAGTGACATCTATGGAAATGATTCTTTGTAAGTTTTGGGTTTCTTTTTCTTATGTGAGATCAAATAACATTTTTTATATTTGTATTGAATTCATAGATGAAGGGAGAGGGAGGAAGAAATAGAAACATGAATGATAGAGGAACAATGATCAGCTGCCTCTTGCACACCCCCTGCTGGGGATGGAGCCTGAAACCAGGTCATGTGCCCTGACAGAGAATCAAACCCTGACCTCCTGGTTCATAGGTCATCACTCAACCACTGAGCCACACCAGCAAGGCCAAATAACAATTTTTAAGTGAAAATGAGTTATATGAGAAATGTTTTTTAAAAAACCAAAATGGGAACTTTTAGAAAATACAAGTGTTCCTTTTTTTATAGAGATCATTAATAATAGAAACCAAGACCAAACAAATGACAAAAATAAAACAAATAATCCTAAACTCACTGATTCTAATATTTAAACAAGTGAGGAAAAAGTAGGAAATATAAATTAGATTATAATGTTCGAAGGGATTTAAATAGGCCACTTTGGTCCATTTCCCTGCTTTTGACCTAGTTACTCAATCTAATATTTACATTTCTTTAAAGGCTCACAGAAAATGTTAAGTGCCATCAACAAAAATTTTAATTGGAATTTTATGAGACATTCCTTATTATAATCTACAAATAACTCTTAAAAAGACTATTCCCTAAATCTCTTTTGGATAAGGAATACATGGTAATTATTTTTTATTCTTTGAAATAATTGGTGACATACAATACAAAATTATACTTTTTAATTTTCAGATAAAAATAAAACACTGACAATAATGAAGTAACTGAAAATATCCCTTCTTTGCCTTTAACAAATTAGGAATTTATTTCTGAGTAAGAAGTTAATATAGAGTTTAGCCACAAGAGGGAGCCAAAAAGACATGATATTTGTGGTTAGTAGGCCCTGTTGATCCTTTTGGGATTAGTTAACTTTGAATAGTAGGTTAAGAGTATGACTGGTTCAGGTCAAGGAATTGGTGTCTCTGAGCATATATTCTTTTCATTCATTTTATTTTCTTTCTTTTTTTAATATATTTCTATTGATTTCAGAGAGGAAGGGAGAAGGAGAGAAACATCAATGATGAGAGAGAATCACTGATTGGCTGCCTCCTGCATGCCCCCTACTAGGGATCAAGCCTGCAACCTGGGCATGTGCCCTTGACCAAAATTGAACCCGGACCCTTCAGTCCCCAGGCCGATGCTCTATCCACTGAGCCAAACCAGCTAGGGCTCACTCACTTTATTTTCAAACTTTGAGGATTGTCTTTAGAAGCTTTTCTTTTTAAAAAAAAAAAAAAAATTCCATTTTGAGTCAAATCAATTTTAGGCACATATTTGTCAATGTCATCACTAAATGTGTCACATGAGAAAATTTTTAGATGCTGACAATGTTTCACAAATAATAGCCAATCTACTAACTCTAGATCCCTTCAGTTGTTATATTCATTGCCCCCTCTTCCCTAACTCAACCAGAAATATAACCGGAAGACAAGACATGTATGGTTTTTTTTAAGTTCCAAACCCACAAACTTAGAGTCCAAATAAAGAAGGGCATAAACATGTTATAGCTCATATGAATCATGTATTTATAATATAGGCTAATAAAACTATATGGCTAATATACCATTTCCTAAATAGACAAACATAAAAAATTAAAAGAATATACTCAATTTTACTGATCTTTACTATCAACTGATTAACATTCTGTTCATTTTTCACACCTGAAATATTTAGAAATATTTGTATAGTTAGAAACTAATTGTTAAACCCAATGAAAGTGGATGACAATCTTTGCCTAGTGTGGACTTTGTTCCTGGGCTGCAGTATGACTTCAGTAAACTGTTCCTGGCTGCAGTATGGCCTGCAGGGCTCAGCATATTTAGTAAATACACAAACTTCAGATGAACTGATTCAGAAAAGGCGTACCTTCAAGTACCTTGTTCAGTTTTGTTCTAGCCTCTCAGTCAATGGAGAGATCAGCAATCCTGGGCAAAAGGACAAAGCACACACAGTACTCAGGTCACTTTAGGTCGTGTAATTGTACCACATGCACACTGGCAGGCTGCCTCAGAGCACTTGCTACTGCTTGAGGGTGAATGTCAATAAGAACAAGAGCTCTGTTATCATTACAAGTAGCAATCCTACTTGCACTGCAAATAAGAAATGCACAATGGGGACTGAGGGGCCCCGGGTTCGATTCCGGTCAAGGGCATGTGCCTGGGTTGTGGGCACATCCCCGGTGGGAGATGTGCAGGAGGCAGCTGATCAATGTTTCTCTCTCATCGATGTTTCTGACTCTCTATCCCTCTCCCTTCCTCTCTGTAAAAAATCAATAAAATATCTTTAAAAAAAAAAAAAAAGAAATGCACAACGGGTGTTTAGTAGGACTGAAATTAGAGTAATCAGAATGGTAAAAAAATGATCAATAGACAACTGAGATAGGATGACATCATATCTCTCTGGTCAGCTATTCATTGTTCCAGAAAGTCAACTAGGATATTATAAAGTCAATATTATATAAAAGACACTATAGCTGGAAAATTGGATACTTCTTTATTCTTAAGCAAGTTTCTAATAGAAATGTAAGCTTTAAAAAGTCCGTAATATAAATTAGGATTCGTTTCCTGTTTTTATTCTAGGTTGCCCAAACCACCTAATTCAGCAGTAGGGTAAGTATACACTTGTATTTCCCTTCCCTGTTCTTTTCTTTTTTTAATGTATTGATTCTAGAGAAACATTGATTTCTTGTTCCACTTATTTATGCACTCATTGGTTGCTTCTTGTATGTGCCCTGCCCAGGGATCAAACCCGCAACCCTGGCATATTGGGATGATGCTCTAACCATTTGAGATACCCAGCCAGGGCCTTCTCTGTTCTAATCAAGGAAAAAATGTATTGGCGATTCAAAGGTCTTAGTGTGGGGACACATGAGACTTTTCATGAATGTGGGAGAGGCTGACACAGGTCCAAAGTTAGAATATCATTGATTTCTCCCAATTATATGCCCTGCTAATCTTTTTTTTAAACAAACTTTTTTAGTATAGTTTTATATTTACAAAATTATTGGGAAACAGTAGAGTTCCTATATACCTCACACCCAGTTTCTCCTGTTATTAGCATCTTACATTAGTATGGTACATGTGTCACAATGAATGAGCCAAATATAAAGCCCATACTTTACTCAGATTTCCTCAGTTTTTCCCCTAAGGTCCTTTTTGTGTTCCAGGATCCCATCCAAGAATTTGGTAGTCTCCCTAGTTCCTTAAGTTCCTTGTGGCTGTGACCATTTCACGGTTTCCTTTTTTTTATGGTCTACACACTTTTGAGGATTACAGGTCACATGCTTTGCAGAATGTCCCCAAGTTGGGATTTGTCTGATGTTTTTCTCATGATTGGACTCAGCTAATTTGTCTGGGGATGGAAGAGGTAAAGTGCCATTTTTATCACATCCTATCAAGAGTACATGCTATTTGAAATTTTTTTTTAATTTTGTTTTATTGCTTAAAGTATTATAAAGAGTATTACATATGTCTCCTTTTTTTTTTCCCCCCTTGACCATCCCCTGGCCTCCCCTACCCCCCAGTGTCTTGTGTCCATTGGTTATGCTTATATGCATGCATACAAGTCCTTCGGTTGATCTCTTACTGTCCCCCTCCAACCCTTCCCGGCCTTCCTGCTGTAATTTGACAGTCTGTTCTGTCAAGTAACACTCCCTCCACGTTCTGCGTGGAGTAGGGTTCGGTATCTGAAAGAGGAGCCACACAACAAATGAGAGAAAAAGACACGAGATAATTTTGCAATATTGGGGGACCAGGCGGGCAAGTCCCGAAGGACTTCCACCGATGCTCAGGCCGCTCCAATCTTTTATTGATCTGGAGTAGCCCTTAGGGTAAGGAGGTTTCAATGACACACGGATTAGCAGACAATTTCTAGGAATAGACAAAGTATCTGATTAGCTCATCAGTAGATGATTTCCAGTAACAGAGTATCTGATCAACAATAATCAACAAGGATCTACATAAGTATCTAAGGAATTAAGGGAACTAAGGTGGGGATGCTTCAACTATTATTACCTAAATTAACTGAGTGGTTCCTAGATTAACTGGGTGGTGCACAGTTCTGACCTTTGCTAGGACTTCAAAGGTTACTAGCTTTTGGGGGTCTCTGTCTAAACTCAGCTAGTGAAGACAATGAATGGACTCCGGCATGTTCGATGCTGCTCTGCCTCTGTATTTTTGTTCTTCAGTTTATAATGGTCTTAATTATCCATAAATGAGTGAGATCATGTGGTATTTTTCTTTCATTGACTGGCGCTATTGGAAATTTTTTTTAATTATTTAAAAGAGTACATGCTATCCACATAACTTACCACTGTTGATGTTGACGTTGATTACCTAGCTGAGGTCGTGTTTGCCAGGTTTCCCCTGTGCAGTCGCTCTTGTTTTCTCCCCTCCCGTCCTGTGCTCTTTAGGAAGCCATTCTAGACAGGCTGCACCTAGAGATCTGGAATTATGCTCCCCCTCCTTGAGGAAAACGTACTTACATAACTTACTGGCATTGTTCTACCCCATTTATTTATTTATGATCCGCTTATATCAATATGGACTCAAGGGTACTCACGTTGTGCTTTGGTACGTTAGTAGTAACCCTGTACCACTTTACTTGTTCTGTTACTCAGGTTGACCACTGGGAGCTCTCTCAGTTGGCTCCTATATCCACATACCCATCCGTGTGGTGTCCTTCTGACATGTTTGTTTGTTTGTTTGTTTACTACTATATCACTTACTGCTGTGAGGGTTTTATTTTCCTTTGAACGGTTCCTTACTTTCTGGCAGTATAAGACGCTACACACGTATATTTCCTGCCCCAGTCCTAGAGTCAGCCATTGCGCCAAGGAGCCCAGTTCCTTCTATGGGAGAATGGTATTAGAAAACAGGATCTAAACACTAGGTGTGCTTGATGCTACTAAAGTCCCTGTCAGTCTTAACTGAAAATAATAAGGTAACATTTTAAAATTGTGTTACAGGGTAAGATCTGCTCAAAAGGCTATTAAATTTTATCCCTAGCCAGTTTAGTGCAGTGGAGAGCATCAGCCCATGGACTAAAGGGTCCCAGGTTCGATTCTAATCAAGGGCACATACCTTGGTTGCAGGTTTCCCAGACCTGGTTGAGGTGCATGCAGGAGGCAACCAGTCAATGTCTCTCTCTCATATCGATGTTTCTCTCTGTCTCTCCCTCTCCCTTCCACTCTCTAAAAATCAGTGGAAAAATATCCTTGGGTGAAGATTAACAATAACAACAAAAAGGCAAAAACATTTTTAAATCTTAGTTGTTTTGGGGTTTTAAAAAACACAACTATGTGAAGACCTTTGTTTTGGACTTTCCAAATCCTTTTAATAGAAATATGAAAAGTAAAGCCCTTTTTGTTGGGTTCTTTTTCTCAGACCACCCGTCTGCTTGTAGCCTGATAAATTCCAAAGTCTCTTCCTTTGACATGGTCCTCAAACATCCCCAGGAAAGAGCTGTTATCATCTTGTTAAACATCTTGGTAAATCTTGCTCAGACAGCCCATGCCTCTAACTGAACGATGTATAAAACCAAATTCCTTTATTTAAATGCCTGTGAGGTTAAGTAAATGATGTTCTGCCTTATCATTTCTTCTCTATTTAGGGACTCAAGACACAAAATGAAAGTAACCTTTATAAATCATTTAATATATCCAGGAACATAATATTTTCTGAATATTTTATTCCTTAAAGGAATAAAAATACATTCTGGTCGTTTAATACTATTGTATTCAAAACCTGAGTAAGATAAAACCTGAAAATTTAGTGGAAGGTATAATTTTGCAATATGTTTTTTAACAAACAAATATAACCTTTGCAATATATTGAATGAAATCTCATAACATACATAGACTCATAGCACACAGAGTCCACAGGTTTCAGGTCTTAGAATAAATAACATCTTCCTGAATCATTACTAGATATAACTTAATACTATTTGCTAGGAAATACACATTTCTAGAATCTAAAGGGGAAAAAATTTCTGCCCTGCCTTCCTAACTCCCACCTTTTACCCCTTCTTCATGAAGCCAAAATCCTGGCCACAGGCAAAACCAGAAGATTCTGAGAACTACACACACATTTTGCAAATTTACTTCCTTATCAAGGAGACCACTCCCCAGAAATGGTTTGTGGAATTCATGTAGTTCTTTTGTTGTAATTTAACATGTTCTTGGCCCTTAAAACTTACTTTCTAAAGTAATGAGTAATCTCTACTTTTTTTTAAAAATAAATTTGTATTGATTTCAGAGAGGAAGGGAGAGATAGATGATAGATAGATGATAGATAGATAGATGATAGATAGATAGATAGATAGATAGATAGATAGATAGATAGATAGATAGATAGATGATAGATAGATAGAAACACTAATGATGAGACAGAAAATCATCAATCAGTTGCCTTCTGCAAGCCTCACACTGGGGATCGAGCCCACAACCTGGGCATATATCCTGACCAGGAATCGAACAATGACCTCCTGGTTCATAGGTCGACGCACGACCACTGTGCTACACCAGCCAGCCAGAACATGGGCTTTGTACTAGACCACAGTAAGCACCATCCTTTCCTGATTCAAGTAGATTGGACACTCTCTGTGAGCACAGATGTGTTCATTCCTACTTTATTCACACAATTTGCTCAAACTATAAATGCTTTTTTTCAAGTAGATTTTAAAGAGGAAATTAATTCAAGGGGAATGGTTTACTATGGAATCCACTGAATTGGACACTGGAAATATTTACAACAAATTTGTAGTATATAAAATGAAATAGTCAGTATTGCTTCATTAAAAGAGCAGTTACTACACTAATTGTCATGACTCAGGAATGTCAGTCATTTGGAATTTAGGAATGCCCTGATTCTCTTCTCATATCATTAGAGTTGACAACCTTGTGTCCTGTGTAGTAGTTGATGTGGCACTTTTTAAGCAAAGTAAGTAAACTGAAAAAGTTTTTTAATGATCAGCAATAAAATAATGCTATACCCAATTCAAAAATATGTTCAGGTGAGAGAGTTTGTGACAAGGGCAAGAAAACCTAATTCCTTTACAAACAAAAAAAGAGCTGACTGGCCTCCTAAATGACTTTTGCCTGGAGTCCAGATTTTTTGTCTTACAAAAATATTTTATTTATTGATTGACTGATTGATTGACTGACTTCAGGGAAGGAGAGAGAGAGAAACATCGGTTCATTGTTCCACCTATGTATGCAACCACTGGTTGATTCTCATATGTGCCCTGACTCGGGATTGAACCTGCAATCTTGGGATGGTACAGTACCTGCCATAAAGAAGGTTCCAATAAATATTTAGTGATTAATTTTTTAAAATTGCACTTCTGTTTTGTTTGTTTGCTCAACTAAATCTCAGTGAAATCTGCTCCCCGTATCCAGTTGAACATCCCTACCACACACACATCTGTCGCGGTGCCATGTTCCCAACCTTTACATCACCTAAGGATCGCTACACTGGCATTAACGCCCGAGGCCAACAGCCATTTCCTCCAACTGTGCCAACGAAGCCTTATGATACACTGATTTTGAAGACAAAAGGTAAAATGTAATTTAAAATCAGAACACTATTAATTTTTCTTATATTTGGAGTTTATTCAATAATAAAATTAAAGAAAGTAGGGCAAAGGATTCAAGTCACAAAAGTATGACCATCAGAAAGTTGTTCTCAACTGTAACTGCACTTTAGAATCAGTTGGGGCCTCGCCACAGACCAATTAAATCAGAATCTCTGCAGATACCCTTAGCTTTTCTTCTTTATACAGAACCTCCCATGGCAGAATCAGAAACATTGTAGAATTGGTTGTTTTTAGTCTACTTATATTTTGTTTTTATTTCCTTTTTGCTCTCTCCTATGGTTTAGCTTTTTAAAATTCCATCTTCAGGTCATCAGCACAAGGAACAGTGGTGGGTTCAGAGCATTATGGATGTAGCAGCCATGATGAAAGTGAAAGACCCTCATTGAAATAGGACTCAGAAAGTGATGGGAGCAGTTTGTTCAGTTCCTTTTAACACAGGGGTCCTCAAACTTTTTAAACGGGGGGCCAGTTCACTGTCCCTCAGACCGTTGGAGGGCCGGACTATAGTTTAAAAAAAAACCATGAACAAATTCCTGTGCACACTGCACATATCTTATTTTGAAGTAAAAAAACAAAAATGGGAACAAATACAATATTTGTATTTGCATGTGGCCCACGGGCCGTAGTTTGAGGACCCCTGTTTTAACACCTTGGGAGCATTTTATCACAGATGCAAACATTGGGGTCTTCCCAGATTAGTTTTATTATAGAGAATGCTAAACCCATACACTAGTCTTCAAGTCTATCCCACACTAGACAACTCAAAACAGAGAAGAAACCTACGGCGAAAGAATGAAGGTAACTGAAGGTGACAGAAGAGGTACACGGTAGGCAGAGATAAATACTTGTTGAATGAATTTGGGCTGTGAGGAAGGTAAGACCCAAGAACTGTCCTGTAACTCAGGTCCTCTGTACATGAATAATTGAACCCAAACATAAGAATAGGTACTGCCATTATTATCAACCTCAGTACCTTACAGGGGTCAGTAACATTTTGAGAAATATTACAGTGGAATGTTTAACAGCACGGACTATGGAGTCAGACTGCAGGGGTTGAATTCTGGCTATGCCACTTACTCACCATAGACCATGGGAAAGTTTCCTCACTTCTGTGCCTCCGCTTCTCAATCTATAAAACAGGAACATTAGTACCTACTTCATAGGTAATAGAGGTAAGTGTTAGCAGTCACTATTTTTGTTACTCAGTTACCTGCTGTCAACCATGGTCTGAAAATATTAAATGGAAAATTCCAAAAATAAACAGTTTATAAGTTTGAAACTGCATGCCATTAAGTAGGGTGATGAACTCTCCCAATGTCCCACTCTGTGCCACCCTGACATAAATCATCCCTTGTCCTGCGTGTCCATGCTGTATGGTGCTACCCATTCATTAGTCACTTAGAGGCATCTGCGTTATCAGCCTGAAAAAACAGAGTATAGAGAGAGTTCAGTACTATCCTCAGTCTCAAATATCCCCTGCGGATAAGGGGGAACACTGTTCCACCAATACCTAGGAAGCTGTATTGTTTAAGACAGCCGTGGGCAAACTATGGCCCGCGGCCGGATACGCCCGTTTGAAATGAATAAAACTATTGGGAAAAAAAAGACCGTACCCTTTTATGTAATGATGTTTACTTTGAATTTATATTAGTTCACACAAACACTCCACCCATGCTTTTGTTCCAGCCCTCCGGTCCAGTTTAAGAACCCATTGTGGCCCTCGAGTCAAAAAGTTTGCCCACCCGTGGTTTAAGATGTTCTCTTTCAATACCTTTTTGGTAATCAAGTACTACATTTCTTGATATTTAGGCAGGGAAAAGCCAAAACAGGTAGTTTAGAATTATATTTGCTAAACTAGAAAGAGGATCCAGGAAGATTTACAATTTACCTAAAAATTCCTTTCATTAACAAAGAAAGGTAAAGTACGATTCCCCCTCCTACCACTGGGAGCGCTGTGGTTAGAGAGTCATTCTCAGTCCCTGTGGCCCATACGCTGTGTATTAAGGGCGGGAGGAGGTCAAGAAGTCAAAGCAAGCTGTAACTATATAGCTAAAATGTGCACCTGCATCCTCTCTGCCTCATATTGTCTTGTTTCTATTTACTGCACCCATAAATCCCATGAATTAGAAGATTGTTCTTATATATTCAGGATAACAGTGCTTGCCCTGAAAATTCCAGGTAATCCTTACAGACATGAACTGCTTGATATTCCCATGGATTCAAAGAAGAAAGCCTTGACTTGGCCAGGTCAGGGTGTGTATTATGACGTAAGTATTTTTAATGTGTGTTTGAAACAAAGTAAAAAATGTCTTTACTCTATATGTTTCTCAGAGTCCAAAAGATTGATTACTTTTATATTCTATCTGGGTGAAAACTTTGAGAGTTTGACCAGGATTCACATTTTTTGTTGTCGTTTTCTTAGCTGATTTCAGATAGTTTGGGCAGTTCTGTAACAATTCCACAATTAGCAAAATAAGGTTCCTCCTGAAAGAAGGTGGAAGAGGACTGTATTTCACTTACTGTGTGTCCCCCAACTCTATTCTTATGATTTAAACTGTATTAAGTAACTCTAAATATGCATAGAGTAAATGAGAGATTTTAAGCAAGATTTACAATTTACTGTAGAAACCATTATATTTGTGTAGTATCAGAAAGAAATTAGCCCTAGCCGGTTTTGCTCAGTGGATAGAGCACCAGCCTGAGGACTGAAGGGTCCCAGGTTCAATTCCAGTCAAGCGCACATGCCCAGGTAATGGGCTCAATCCCCAATAGGGGGCGTGCAGGAGGCAGCCGATAGATGATTCTCTCTCATGAGATATTGATGTTTCTTTCTCTCTCCCCCTCTCCCTTCCTCTCTGAAATCAATAAAAATATATTTTTAAAATAAAATAAAAACAATAGCAACTGTTTATTGAGATAGTGAATCAGCTCTTATTCTACTAGATGTCATCAATTGTAATAATCTTTTATGTTCATATTCTAGTTTCCTAAATGTGTTGAGAAAAACAAGCCAGTATTCTACCCCAAGCCTCCTAAAACCTTCGCTCCTAACACTTCTTTGAATTCATGGGATCCTGTTAACTCTCAAAAAGAAGCCAACATACAAAGAAATATTGAGCGGTCCCACTGGATCAGTTCATACACTCATGATTTCACAGGTATGAGTTCACTTTAATACAAGTGAAAAGAACATAATTAGGTCATTGACAAATGCTGCTATAAGCTTTCATCTAATATTTCCCCCTGTTTCTTAATCTAAAGTACCAATAGAAATTCAGGTGGGTGGTAAGTTTCTCTTAGCAGGTAACCAGGAGGTAAAGTTGGTTTTCATTTTATTGTTCTAATTATATTACAAAGGGGAATGGGTGAGCTTTTCTCTAAAAGGTCACTTACATGCCATTTTTCATTTAACAAAATAATAAGACATGATGTTTCTATTAAGGTGTGGGGCCCATGAACCCCCTTGAACTGGATGATTACCATGAAAAGGCGATAGCAGAGTTAACTGGACAGATAGGATTTGACCCACAACCTGTAAGTAATTGCAGTCAACTCTCAGTTATTTGGGGGGAAAGTATCCACATGTTGGACTCTTTCTTGCTTTGCCCACTTCTTATTTGCTTTTTGAATATTGGTGAGTAAACTAGAAAACGGACATTTTAACTCATTTTAGAAGTTAATTCTGAATTGATCTAAACTGTCTTGAATACCTTTCTCCACTCTTTTGAAGAACAAGGTAGGTTTCTTTTTTTCTTCACAGAACTGGTTGTTTTCTAAAAAAACATTGTATACTGTTACTATTGCTAAAATTTACAATGTCATTGTTTTACAAATGCTTACCTAGTAATTTAATGAGATTCTTAAATTCTGTGAATCTTTGCATATTTGTGTATCTTGTACATTATCACTGCTTTTGAAGAGATAAAGGCTTCTTTCTGATATCCACAATGATTAAGTGTTGGCTGAATTACAATCAAAAGCCAGTACATTCTTTGTAAATATCAGCGATTTCTTAATTATGTGAAGTGACCTGAAAGAAATGATCAAGCCCTTTATGATTATGTAAATAAAATAAAGTGACCCAATAGTATTCATTTATTGTTTTATTTGGGGCCTAAATTTTATCCTCTAAAACTACAAAGTTTTTAAAACAAAATTAATATTTTCAAAGAGGTAAACTGTGGAAAAACACATAAAAGACAACTATAAGCTATTTCAATATTAACTCTTAGACTGAACTGTACACAATTTTTTATACTAGCTTCAATATTTCCCAAAGTGATATAAAATCATTAACACCAGAGTAGTTCCATAGACTGTGCTGTGTCAGTCACTGAAGGGTTTTTAATTTTCTTCACTTTTCATTTTCAACTAGCATTCTCTAAGGCTACAAAAGATGATATATAACCCTAACTGGTTTGGCTCAGTGGATAGAGCATCAGCCTGCAGACTGAAGGGTCCCCAGTAGGGGGTGTGCAGGGCCGATCAATGATTCTCTCTTATCATCATTGATGTTTCTATCTCTCTCTCCCTTTCCCTTCCTCTCTGAAATCAATAAAAGCATGTAAAAAAATAAAATAAAAATTTAAAAAAAGATGATACATCTACTTTTGTTAGGTGTGTTCAGCAGCTGTCCAGACTTCCAGAGTTTACCCTGAGGAAACAGTTTTATGATTTTTATTTAGAAATATATGCACAGTTGTACAAAGGATGTCTGTCAAGAATATTATGTGCAAAATTATTGTACAAGTAAAACAACACCTACATTTTTATTAATAGCAAGATAAAAATGCCTAAAATAGTTGGAAGTTTCAGTGAATCTTGCTTGTTTCTAACTAAAACATAAATAACGACTCTAGGAAGGCATGGGTTAGTGGTAATAAATATGTGTATGAAATATTTTGCTGTAGTAGAATAAAATAACGGTATTAAAAACTGCTTCTTCATAAAAGGATGCTGTCAGAGTAGGATATGATATACCCTATTCTTTTTATTTTTTTAATATTTTTTTACTGATTTCAGAAAGGAAAGGAGAGAGAGATAAAAATACAATGATGAGAGATAATCATTGATCGGCTGCCTCCTGCACACCCCCTACTGGGGATTGAGCTCACAACCAGGCCTGTGCCCTTGACCAGGAATCAAACCCGGGACCCTTCAGTCCAGAGGCTGCCGCTCTACCCACTAAGCCAAACCATCTAGGGCTATACTTTTTCTTTATGATAAATTTAACAAAGCATTTCAAAGAGCTAGGGTTTTGAGGGGGGTTTTTTTTCTTTTTTTTTTTTTTTTTTTTTCATAGTATCTACTCAAACCTGATTAAAGGTTGTAACAGATTTTTTACAAATAGTATGGAAATTCTTCCAACTATGAACAGAGAAGGTTCCAAAGTATGTTCCTCACTTCATTTTTTTTCCTAAGTCCAAACTACTTTTACTATCTCACCATTCTCATTTTTATCTCTGTCGTCTCTATTCCATTATCATCATATATCCATTCTTTTTTAGTTTTTTTTCTTCAATATATAAAAATGTTCAAACACACAGAAAAGTTTAAACAGTTTTACAGTTGATATGCATATTCCCATCTCCTTGATTCTACCATGAGCATTTTACTATACTTATCACATAATCCATATTTCCATCCCTCTACCCAACCTTGTTATTTTTATGCACTTCAGAGTAAATTGAAGACAGTAGCATACTTTACCTCTAAACATTCAGTATGTATATCATTAACCACAGTTCAATTTGTTTGCAGTTTTTTCTTTTAAGGTAAAATGTACATTCAGTGATATGCACAAATCTTAAGTGTACACTCAATGGGTTTTGACAAATGCATACACCTCTGTAACCCAAACCTCTAGCAATGTATTGAAAATTACCATCATCTCAGAAAGTTCCCTCATGTCCCTCCAACTCCTCCCCTCCTTCCTCCTGCCCCCCAAAGACATATACCTATTAATCAGCTTTTCAATACACTCACTACTTTTGCAGTTACAGACATGACTGAGTTCACAGTATTTATAAAACATCTCAAAAAACAGGGGACAGTTATGACAGATTCCTCTCAGACCAGTGTTTCCACAACATAGCACATCACTAGCCTCAGCATCACTGAGATGTTAGTTGAAAAAGCAGATTCCTGAATCACAATCTCAGAGGATCAAGTTTAGGAATCTCGTTTTCTTTCAGCTCCAAAGCTGATTTTCAATGAACCAAGGTTTAAGCACCCTTGCCCTTGGCCTAATAAAGAAGGCCAATAACAGGGATTTAAATAACTGCCCATAACTTTTAACATCAACTGTTGGTGATGGGCAGTTTTGTTCCAACGATTATTTTACATCTTTGAAAGTTTGAAAGCAAAGCGTTCCTACATAGAGGAATTTCTGTATAGCCAAGTACAAATACACCCTTTCCATATTAATAAAAACTAGTAGAGGAGGAAAACATGTTTATTAAGACCCAAATTTCAGTATCTTTAAATATAAAAACAGTCAAATGTGTACTCTTACACCCATCTGTGTTTACTCAGGCAGTGAAAATGGGTATGATTTTTGACTGGCCATTTATGGCAATATCCTTTACAATGCCAGGTTTATTAATTAATCACTTTTCTCCTTTTTATCCCACCACTACAGTCAGAAAAATTCCATTCTGTCCTCAAACCCCCCAGACCCTCGGATGGACGAATAGCTCGACTGATTCAGAACCAACGTCCTCTGGAGGCTATTGTCCAGCAAAGACCACCTCCCTGTCCTGATTGTACCCCTAGAGTTTTGTGTAATTTTCATACCTTCATACCCAGTTCTTCAGAACTGATGGCACTTCGTGATAACACACTAGCAGGTATGATCCATAAACACCAGGAAATTGAAGACAAGATTAAGGAAGAACAACGTTTGTTATCTACCTTTGCATGCCCACCTGGTTACCCAACGAAAGATATGACTAACGGTTATGACATACAACCATTTCCAAAAATTACAGATACTAAAAAGACAGAAGATTTGTACTGGAGACAGCTGCCATTAAAACCCCAACCTGTACCTCACTACCACCCCAACCAATACATTCAATATGAACATTTTAAATCTGCCTTACTTGACCAGCATGCTATGTGTCAAAACCCTGTTAACCTTAGTACGCCTAGTCCTGTACAAAATAAACCAGACGCAGAAGCTCTTGATCTAGGATGTTTTTTAAGGAAGCCAGAAGAACAGCTGACCTTCAACACAGAAACTGATGAAGAAACGAAATCTCTTCTGGGTTGGATTCCTAAAGTTGGAGGGGCCAAGACTCAGGCCAACCTGCTTGAGCTTAAGAACTCTTTTTCAAAATCTGGTGCACAAAAACGTTTCCATAAATCAATTAGAGAAGACCATAAAGACCTTAGGAATAAGGTACATTTAGGGATGAAACACCAATTCTATGACCATAATTCCTATTATTTCTACAATTGAGATATTCATCTTTCCCTTCAAAACATAGCCTCTTGCAAGAAAAGAAAATAGAATTTCTTCCTTGTTACTGGATTCTGTTTTATAGATGAGCCATCATGAACCTTGCTAATGAGGTTTATGTTTTCAGGAATTTAAGTTTGGATCTGGTCAGAGGAACCCAATTTGGCAATAAAATATTAGAACCAGAAAAACTTATAGTCTTTCATCTCATTTCCAAATGATATTCCAAGTAATTTCCCAAAACAATGTGCATGGCAAAGTTTACATTAGTTTTTAAAAAATGAATTTCTGGGGGGATAAAACCCTCAAATGTCCAATAATGGACAGATGTCTATACAAATTATATTACCCTAATAAAATAAATAGGTGAACACTCTCTCTTTATGTAAATGTTTGTACAAAATAACATTAGGTACAAAAGACAAAACTCAAATGCCCTGTCAATTGAGGGATAGACAACTCTGCGAACTGCATTCCTTCATAAAGTAAGTATGCAGGCCCTGTTCTTTTCACATGTAAACATGAACAAAATGTCAGTAGAAAAGATGAAACCCAAAATGCTCTGTATGCACGCATTCTACACTAGATGTTTCTTTTCCTTTACACAAGTGGTAGAGAAACATAACCATTTCTTGAATGCAGGGGGGGAAATGATTCTATTGTGAAGATCTGGCAATGGCTTTATTTAATAACTGGTGAGTTCTTATTCTGATAAGAAAGGACGGTGTCTTAGTCCGTTTGGCCTGCTAGATAACAAAATACCATATACTAGGTGGCTTATAAACAAACTTATTTCTCAGTTCTGATGGCTGGAAAGTCCACCAAAGTCATGGTGATGAAAGATCTGGTGTCTGGTGAGGTTCTCACTGTATCCTCACATGGAGAAGGGGTGAGGGTCTCTCTGGAGCCTCTTTTATAAGAGCACTGATCCCCTTCATGAGGGCTCTGCCTTCATGCCTAATCACCTCCCAAGGCCCCGTCCTCATAAATAAATTTGGGAATTAGGATGTCAACATATGAATTTTAGGGTAACAAACATTTAGACCATAACAAATGGCTTGATATTAATTAAGCCAAATCACCTCATTTTTGGAAGGTGTCCACAGGAGTTAAGCTACCCCAGATGCAGGAAAAATTCATTTAATGTGCCAAGAGGTTTATTTTAGATAGTTTATCACGGAAAGTTCATAAGGAATTTCTAGGAGGCATTGATTGAGATTTCTTTTTTGTTTTTGCTTCATAACCGACATGTCATTTGGTTACACCCTCTTTAAAATTATTCTGGGCTAATATTATGGAATATTTTCCAAAGTCTTTTCTGTAGTACTAGTTATATTAGATATTATGGAAGCAAAAAGTTACATGGTAAAATAATATTGGAGAAAACTGGGAGCAACAAAATAAATCATGTGACTACGATAGGATTCTCCATAGACTATAATATATAACATATCTGGGAATTCCCAAGGTGAAGGGGATAGAGTATACACATTTCTCAAACTAATTTGACCCTCTTATCATAAAGCACATCATTGGACTAGAATTCCAAAGAACAAACTTTGGAAGATGCAACTCTGCAGTATAGGAATTGGGGGTTTAGAATGCACTTGCCCTGGGTTGCAGGGCTAGACAATTGCACTCTGACTATGGGTATTCACTCCACCCATCTGTGCAGCAGTGGTGCAGCCTTCATTCAGAAGTCTGTCCTAGTCATCATCCTCAGCTCTCCTACTCCCCACTGCAGGCTGTTACGGCTAGTGGATCTTATTTAGGCCACAGAGAATACACTCCAAATATGCTCATCACATGCTCATGAAATAGTTTCAAAAAATATTTATGGAGGTTTCCAGATTAAGACAGATGGAACCAATGCATATAATTTCACTTACTTTAAAAAGTCCATGAAAACTATAGTAAACTTTTTTTATTTGCATATTAGCCTTTTATTATATAGGCTTTTAAGCCCCAGTTTTCATTTCTTTTTTTTTTAATTAAATCTTTATTGTTCAGATTATTACAGTTGTGCCTCTTTTTTTCCCCCCATAGCTCTCCTCCACCCAGTTCCCACCCCACCCTCTGCCCTTACCCCTCCCACTGTCCTCATCCATAGGTGTACGATTTTTGTCCAGTCTCTTCCTGCACCCCCACACTCCTTTCCCCCCAAGAATTGTCAGTCCACTCCCTTTCCATGCCCCTGGTTCTATTATATTCACCAGTTTACTCTGTTCATCAGATTTTTTATTCACTTGATTTTTAGATTCACTTGTTGATAGATAAGTATTTGCTGTTCATAATTTTTTTCTTTACCTTTTTCTTCTTCCTCTTCTTAAAGAATACCTTTCAGCATTTCATATAATGCTGGTTTTTCTTATCTGTGAAGCTCTTTATCTGACCTTCAATTCTGAATGATAGCTTTGCTGGATAAAGTAATCTTGGTTGTAGGTACTTGGTATTCATCACTTTGAATATTTCTTGCCACTCTCTTCTGGCCTGCATAGTTTCTGTTGAGAAATCAGCTGACAGTTGTATGGGTACTCCCTTGTAGGTAACTGACTTTTTTTCTCTTGCTGCTTTTAAGATTCTTTGTCTTTTGCTCTTGGCATTTTAATTATGATGTGTCTTGGTATGGTCCTCTTTGGATTCCTTTTGTTTGGGGTTCTCTGTGCTTCCTGGACTTGTAAGTCTATTTCTTTCACCAGGTAGGGGAAGTTTTCTGTCATTATTTCTTCAAATAGGTTTTCAATATCTTGCCTTCTCCCTTCTTCTGGCACCCCTATAATTCCGATCTTGGTACGCCTGAAGTTGTCCCAGAGGCTCCTTACACTATCTTCATATTTTTGGATTCATTTTTCTTTTTGCTTTTCCGGTTGAGTATTTTTTGTTTCTTTGTATTTCAAATCTTTGACTTGATTCTTGGGATCCTCTTGTCTGCTGTTGGATCTCTGCATATTATTCTTTATTTCAGTCAGTGTATGCTTAATTTCTAGTTGGTCCTTTTTCATATCCTCCAGGGTCTCACTATATTTATCGGTGATTTCCAGAAAATTCTTGAAAAACCTTGTAACTGTGGTTTTGAACTCTATATCCAGTCGTTTGCTTTCCTCCATTTCTGTCATTTGTGTCCTGTTTCTTTGTCTCCGCATTTTTTATGCTTCCCTGTGTTGATAGAGTGGATTTGCGTGCTAGGTGTCCTATAGGGCCCAGTGGCTCAGCCTCCCCAGTCACCTGAGGTGGACACTCTTGGTGCACCCCTTTATGGGCTTTGTGCATGGTCTTATTGTAGTTAAGCCTTGATTATTGTAGGTATTACTGGGAGGAATTGACCTCCAGGCCAGTTGCTGTGAGAATCAGCTGTGTCTGCAGTGGGAGAACTTCTGTGCTAAAGACACCCTTAGGGGCAAGACTTGCTTCAGTGGGGCTTTGGTGCTCACTGAGTCTGCCCCCTGAGTGTGTCCCTTATGGATATGAGGAGTTGTAGTCTGGATGGTCCCACTCTGACCACTGGGTACACTGGCTCTTGGATTTAAGGACATGCTAATTTAGCCTCTGCCTGAGGCTACCCAGCAGGAGTACGAAGAGATCTGCAGATTCCCCTTCTTTTTTGGGGGTTTGGAGGTGCCCAGATGAGGCCCAGCTGTGAAGCAATGCAAGCTGCTGTGGGGCCTTGGGCCTTCTCTTGGAAGTTCTGGGTCTGTCTGGCCCAGCTGCAATTTGTTAGGTAATTTTCAGATTGCAAAGGGCCAGGGCATTCATATGCAAAAGCCTCTGCCACAGCCTGGGTGGGGAGGGGTCTCAGGGAATCAACAGGGCGGAGCAAACAGCTATGGCTGATCCTCAGCCCTGCCCTAAGGGGCCCTGCATCTCAGTGTCCCGGTAATTGCTGCAAGCACCCCTGAGGGAAAGCCGCCCTCAAGTTCAGAGTTCTGCCTGCTGCCAGACAGTCCAGTTTCTCCCCGTATGAGTCCTGGATCCCCAGAGACTTCCCGGAACCGGAGTTCAGAGCAGCCGGGAGCTTGTGACTCCCTCCCGATTCAGAAAAACAGCCGTGTCCTCAGGTGCCAGCCCCTTTTCGCGTGCGCTCGAGCCTCCGTACCTCTGCACTTTACTTCTGCAGCTCCTCTGAGTCTCAGTGTGCTTTTCTCTTTCCTTCTAGTTGTAGAATTTCCACTCAGCCAGCCTTCCTGTAGTTCTGGATGATGTCCGTTTTATCTTTTCGTTGTATTTTTGAAGTTGTTGTGGGAGGCAGCAATTTCTGGTGTTTACCTATGCCACCATCTTGATTTTCCCTCAACTTTTTTGTTTTTATTTTGTTTTTGTTTTATCCTATATACTAGAGGCCCAGTGCACGAATTCATGCACAGGTGGGGTCCCTAAGCCTGGCTGGCCAGCTGTGGGAAGGGACCCTAGGTGGTTGGCCAGCCACCCTCCACCCCCCAAATCAGGGCCTATGCGGGGAGGGGAGGCCAGCCAGCAGGGGGGAGGGACCACAGGAGGTTGGCTGGCTGGTGAGAGGTTCCCTATGAAAGCACACTGACCACCAGGGGGCAGCTCCTGCATTGAGCGCCTGCCCCTGGTGGTCAATGCATGTCATAGCAACTGGTCATTCCAGTCGTTCGGTTATAATGGTCGCTTAGGCTTTTATATGTATAGGTAAAAGCATAGGTCAATAGGGGGAATAGGAGCTGAGATGTTAGGAACATTTGGAAAGGAGATGGATAAAAACGACGGATCCTAACTAGCTAGAGCAGTGTTGGAGAACCTTTTGAGCTCGGTGTGTCAGCATTTTGAAAAACACTAAATTAACTCTGGTGCCATGTCACATATAGAAATTTTTTGATATTTGCAACCACAGTAAAACAAAGATTTATATTTTTGATATTTATTTTATATATTTAAATGCCATTTAACAAAGAAAAATCAACCCAAAAAATGAGTTTGCGTGTCACATCTGACACGCGTGTCATAGGTTTGCCATCACTGAGCTAGAGACACTAGAGCCCTACCCTGGCAGTGGAGAAAATGGCCTACTTTACACATCAGAATCCTCAAAAGGCTCAGGAACTCGGTACCAGGCGTGTATGAGGCAGGGGTGGAGTGGGGTGGAAGGTTGCTAAATCAAGGAAGGTTGAGTGAAGGAGAAGGCACAGTTGCTACCTAGATCCTCTCCCTGCCCCACCCCGCTTCCTTCACACTGCGAGGTAGCTGCCCTCCCTCATCCTGGCAGAAGCCCTGAGGATTATTTTCTGAAGAAAGGTAAAATAGGATTTCTGGCATGCAAAACACAGGTATAGCTGAGGACTGGGTACTGTTCTGAAAATTGGAAATGAGTAGTTTTATCAATAAGGGTCTCAGCAGAACAGGCCCCCAAGGCCTCCCCTGAGGGGAGTTTCCGGCAGGGACTATTTATGAAGATGTGGGTAGGGTTATGGAAACCTCAAGAGTGGGGTACCAGGAAGGAGCAATAGCAAGGTCAGCACTCCCAACCCCCCAGTGTTACAGTGCCTCCAGCTGGCAAACCCAACCAGAAGCCGAGAGCGAAGGGGCTCAGAGGACCACCGTCCTTAGACACCCTTGTCCTAAGGCAAAAAAAAAAAAAGGGTGGGAAATGGATCTAGAGAGGCAAGCAGAGAAAACCAGCTCAACGACTCCTCGGTCTAGAGGGGCAGCCCCCTCCCCCACCCACCAGGCTACCAGAACACTGACATCAACTCTCCCAGAGAGCTCCCAGCTGAGGCCCAACATGGCCACATGCTGCCTTTTTTTCAGTTCTCACATCGTAAACAAAGTGTCCTGTTTGTGATCTACTTCCTGCCACTTTTTTCCCCCCGTATTTTCTGTGTCTTTCATTGGTGATTTCACTGTCTCAAATGGCCCCCAAGCGTAGTGCTGAATTGCTGTCTAGTGTAGCCAAACACAAGAAGTCTGCGGTGTGGTGTGCCTTACGGAGGGAATGCTTGTTAGATTTGCTTCATTCAGGCATAAGTTCTTAGACTTGACACCAAAATGTGTTCCATAAGAGAAAAATGGATATATTTGTCTTCATCATAATTTAATACTTTTGCTGTGCAAAAAAAAGATCCTGGTAAAAGGATGAAAAGCTATGCTATCTACCGGGAGAAAATATTTTGCAAACCACATATCTAACAAAGAACTAATTTCTAGAATACATTAACTCTAAACATTCAACAGTAAAATAATAATCCAATTAGAAAACGGACAAAAAAACATTTCACCAAAGAACATATAGAGATGGCCCATAAGCACAATAGATGTTCAACGTCATTAGCCATCAGGGAAATGCAAATTAAAACCACAAAGAGCCCTGGGGGTGTCTGAGCGGTAGCCCATGCACCCAGGGGTTGCTGGTTCAATTCCCTGTTGGGGCACATGCCCAGGGGTTCAATCCCCAGCAAGGGGGCAGCTGATGGACATTCTTTCACATGGCTATTTCTCCCTCTCCCTTCCTCTCTCTCTCAAAAAAAAAAAAAAAAAAAAATCAATAAAAATATTTAATAATTTTTCTGAAAAGAAATTGGGTGGCCTAGAACAGAAATCAGGGGCCCAGTGGTTTGGAAGGGATCCGAGGTCATTTAGTTCAACCTCCAAGCAACTGTTGCTTAACTTGTGGTCGGGAGAAAGGAGGCTCGAATTATCAATTCCTATGGGAGAAAAAGTCCCCACTGATTTCCTCTCGGTACGTAATACGTATTCAGTAACTATGAACAGGAAAAATCCATGAGAACTCCGGGGCCGAATTTTCTAAAATATATTTTTATTGATTTTAGAGAGGCAGAGGGAGCGAGAGATAGAAACATCAATGATGAGAGAGAATCATTGATCAGCTGCCTCCTGCACGCCCCCCACTGGGGATGGAGCCTGCAACCCAGGCAGGTGCCCTTGGCCGGAATCGAACCCGGGACCCTTCAGTCCGCAGGCCGACGCTCTACCCACTGCGCCAAACCGGCTGGGGCTCGGGGCTGAATCTGAGAGACAAGGGCGCCCAGAAGAAACTTTCCAGGGATTCACCTGAGCACGTGGTCAGGGGAGCTGGTTGGAGGGAAAGTGCACAGCCGGACGCTGTGGCGATCAAGCCAGGGCTCTAGTATGACTGCAGCCACACTCGCTTCCTGAGCCTGACCTTCACCTAGGTGACAGGTGGTGCAATCGGCCTAGATTTCACAGAAAGTGCTCATCGTGTGACAGCGCTGCTTCCTCGAGGGAGAGAGACTGGTGTGGGCAGGTGAGGGGCCAGAGCTCCGACCCAGCCTCTGCGCGCCCGCAGTGCCTGTCCCCGCCCTGGAAGGTGACTTAAAGTCCCAGGGCGGAGGGAGAAAGGTCAGGTGCACGTGTCCAACAGTCCTAACGCCTGACTCCAGGCTCGCTCTCCCGGTGCCGCTGGCACCAGAAGTGAAAGTCTGACCAAGTGCGTGTAAAGGTCGCCAGCTGAAGGGAAGTGGCCAGGAGACGTCTCTATCCCGGAAGGCAAAACGCCGTCCTCCTAGGCCGGACGTCAGCGAGCGCAAGAGCCGTTACCTTAGCAGGATAACGCCCACGATCCACGTCGGGGGTCCACTCCACCCTCCCCAACGGCACGCGCCACGCATGCACACAAAGGCCGGACGGTGATGTCAGCCCCGCCCAAAACCTCCTCCGTGACGTAAGTCTAGCGGACTGTCGTAACTGCCCGGCAGTGAGGCTTCCACAGGAAGGGCACCAGTGCGGTACACCCTACCCTGCTAGCAGGCATGCGCGCGCTGGTCGCTGACGCAGGGCCTGGCGGCTAGAGCCAATGAGATGCGGCAACGTCACTGCGTACCGGTAGGCCAGGCCGCACGTCGGACCGCAAAAGGGCGGAGCGAGTTCGGTTGCACCAACACCGGTACTTAGGCGCGGACCGGCGTGTCCTTGGACTTAGAGAGCGGGACGTCCGGCTCGCGAGTGGGTATCTCCGTGTCGCGCGCGACTAACGAGCGGTGAGCGCAGGGCACGGAGTACGCAGCAGGTGGCAGCGGGTGGAGGCCGACCCCTGGGGGGCGCACCAGCGTGGGGGGCGCGCGGGCGGTTGGAGGCCTGCGCCTGGGATCTCCGGGTGGAGCCCACGCGGGCAGGCCGGGCCAAGAGTTAGGACCCCGAGTTGTGGTCAGTCGGAACCCGGTGGGCTGCGGCTTGAGATGGGGGCGGGGGGACCCAGCCAACTAGGTCGGGGCCCTGAGACCCCCGGAGGCGGCTTGGAAGCGGAGCCGAGTGAACGGGGCCCTCCGGTTGTCGGGGCGGAGGGGGCTTGCTTTCCGGGGTGAGGGCGGGAGTGGGAGGAGGTGCGCAGCGCTCCCCATTCTTCTTCAAGGAGAGTGAAAGCGGCTGCTTCTCGGAGAAGGGGTAATTTTTTCCGACCACCTGTCTCTTCACCCCCAAACCCGCCGTGGCATCTCAGGAAGTCTTCGTCACAGTCTCCTTGAAACCGGCCGGGATGGGTGACCTCGTGGTCGCCCCCAGGGAGCCCGGAGCCCTCGCCGCCCCGCTGACCTTTCACCCGCAGCCAGGCCGTTTAGCGTGACCTGCGCGGGCCGAGGCGGCCTCCACCCCTTTCCTTAATGTACTCCGTCTCCTCTTCAGTTCGAGGGGTGGCTTTAACTTGTAGTCTGGATAAATAGGCATTTTTAGTCGGAATTTCTGCGATTTTGGCTTACCGTGCTCACCTTCAAACTCCACTCGTGACCTTGACCTCATCCTTTGAAACACTTTCGAATTAGGTTCCCATTTCGCGTGCTCGGGCGTTGACTTTCCCTCGCTGAAGCAGAGGCGTGTTGTTTTTTTTTAAGAAAGTTCTTCCGAATAGTATTTTGGTGTTAAAGCGTCTATTGCAAATGTCCTCAGTGAAGGTGGATGTCATAGATTTGCAGTGGATTGGTAGTTAGGTGATCGCGGGTTGATTGGGTCCCGCTATGTTTTTACTTGGAGGAAAGACTTAATAAATTGAGTCTTTTATTTTTAGATTTAAAAATGGGTGATGTTGAGAAGGGCAAGAAGATTTTTGTTCAGAAGTGTGCCCAGTGCCATACTGTGGAAAAGGGAGGCAAGCACAAGACCGGGCCAAATCTCCATGGTCTCTTTGGGCGAAAGACAGGTCAGGCCCCTGGATTTTCTTACACGGATGCCAACAAGAACAAAGGTAAGAGGGAGCCGGTGGAATCACTGAAGCACGTTCCATGGGTGTGACCTGTGGTGGATGCTTTAAAAGGAGTGTGAGCCCTAGCTGGCTTGGCTCAGTGGATAGAGCGTCAGCCTGCGGACGGAAGGGTCCCAGGTTCGATTCCGGCCAAGGGCACATGCCTGGGTTGCGGGCTCGATCCCCAGTGGGGGGTGTGCAGGAGGCAGCCAATCAATGATTCTCTATCATTGATGTTTCTACTTCTCTCTCCTTCTCCCTTCCTCTCTGAAATCAATAAAGAAATATATTTTTAAAAAAAATAAAAGGAGTGTGAAATACTTACCGGCACATCTCTTCCTGTTTAGGTATCACCTGGGGAGAGGCTACCCTGATGGAGTATTTGGAGAATCCCAAGAAGTACATCCCTGGAACAAAAATGATCTTCGCTGGCATTAAGAAGAGTGCAGAGCGGGCAGACTTGATAGCTTATCTCAAAAAAGCTACTAATGAGTAATAGTTGGCCACTGCCTTATTTATTACAAATGTCTCATGACTTTTTTTATGTGTACCATATTTAAATTGATCTCATACACCAGAATTCAGATCATGAATGGCTAATAGAGCATTTCTTTCGGGCAGTCCTGATTTAAATAAGATTGGCTTGTGGTTAAATGAACAGGGTCAGCTTTTTGAGCTTTGATGATCATTTTGGTTCAGCAAGCACTGTCACTGTCCTCCCTTCTAACAGTATGGTGGGACTTGATTCCTAGTGTTCAACTTTTCACAGAGGTGGCGAGTGCCGTCTCACAACCTGTAGGAGATTGGCTTACATGTAGATTTATATGACTGGTTGTGTTAATATGTTTAAATTCTGAGGATACCCCTTCACTGTCTCTTAGACCTGCAAGACTAGCTTGTGTTTCAGGTTGTGTTCATTAGCTTGTTAAAAGGAAGGGCTGCAGATAAGCTGGCAGTGATCGTTTTATCTCTTTGGTCCCAACTATGCCAATTTAATAAAATTCCCTGTATCTAAACTGTTGCCTTTTACTGAATGAAAGGCATTTTAGTGTGGTTTCTGTATAATATCAAATAAAGAGTATTTAACACTTTTACATTTTATAGATGATCTTTTAAGGTCAGGTGCTTTTAAAATTCAGCGTGACAAGATATAGGAGCAAACTGTGAATTCTTTAGGTCAGACTAAGTTTTAATTCAGGATTGTCTTGAATAGCTATTCATTGACTATATATGTGTGTGATTGGTAATGGTGCTTTTGCCAGCTCACTAGGATTAAAGTAGAGAATAGATCAACACAAAATTGTAAATTATGTCATCATCACAAGGCTTAAGATAATTAAAAACAAAGTCACAGATCATGATTTTGCTAATGTGCTTGATTTAATGCCTGACGCCCAAACTTTAATGGTTGAAAAGCGCAATAGCCCTAAATGATGCAGCAGTGTTACTAGTCGTACTACTAGATTACATTTCCTTGTCCTCTATGACCATGGACTAGATTGTATCTGTGGTACAGTGCGGAAGATGCTGGGTTTGAAATTAGATCGTATTCAGAGTAGGGGTTGGCAAACAGCCCATGGGACCTGTTTTGGTAAATAACCACTTTACTGGAACACAGCCACATTCATAGGCTGCTTTCATGCTACATCGGAGCTGAGTAGTTGCTACAGACTGTATGACCCACAATGCCTAATATACAGACTGGCACTTTATAGAATAAGGTTCTCAACCCTTGGCTTACAGGAGAGCTTTGCACAATCTCATTTTTGCCATCTGGAGAATAGAAGTAATCTACCTCATAAGATTGCTGTTAAACATTCATTGACATCTGTGAAAGCTCTTAACTGGTAAGCACTGAAATACTCATTTTATATCCAGGTCATATTCCTTGAAAATTACATAAAAAATTACCACTCTCATAGTTAGCAAGTTAGCAGTGACCTGCCATGTCTATATTCTTTTTATTCTCAACTGTGTCAGATGCTCTCTGGGACATTTGACACCCTTGATTATAATTTTTTTTACCATCCTGAGTTTAAGTTTTCACACGTGGACTAAAAATACATTGGCATAAAATCTTCATGTACATACAGCTATAATCACCTGTTTGTAATCCAGATAATTCAGCATGGCATTTTCCCAAATTCGAGTCCTATAACTTGAATTGCTTTATAGTTGTAAGGCACATTCACATCTCAATTTATCCTCACTACCTCATGGAATAAGTACAGTAAGTCTTGTTGATAAGCTCTGCAACTTTAGCTAAATGGCATATAACAAAACCAATTTTAACCTAGATTACTTGATATAAACGAGTGACGTTCCTATGGCATCTCTTCTAACAAAATGATGTTATTCACGGACCTGCTATGCTGTCCCTATTTTGTACCTAAGTTAATACGTTAAGCACCAAGCCTGCTTTGTCTTTCCGTTAAACCCGCAATATTCAGTTTCACCGGTAATGCTGGCGGTACCAGTGACATGGCGCTTAACGTGTTAACAGGCTTGGAGGGTGTTACAGCCAAAGTTTACACAAGAGCATTACTTTGGGAGTATCACATGTATGGACCCTGCCTTCTAAAACTCCATGTAAACTGGGTCATCTCTATTTTCCTCTTTACAGAACTCACATGTCTTTCCCTACTAGAGACGGCTCTCTCCAGGCCTCTGAACCTCTGCAGCCCTCCCAGGTGGAGCCTGCGTGTTCTTCCACAGTGTCCACAAGAGGCTTTGTGGTCTTGGCACCTTCCAGGTCATTACTCTTCCCTTCACATGCAGAACTGCCTGTGTGAGATTCATGACATCTTTTTTTTTTTTTAATATATTTTTATTGATTTCAGAAAGAGAGGGATAGAAACATCAGTGATGAGAGAGAATCATTGATCGGCTGCCTCCTGCAAGTCCCACACTGGGGATCAAGCCCGCAACCTGGGGCATGTGCCCCCACCGGGATTGAGCCTGTGACCTTCTGGTTCATAGGTCGATGCTCAACCATTGAGCCACACCAGCGGGGTGATTCATGACATCTTTATGGGCCCTTTACTGTTTGTACTTCTGGACCTTAATCACACACTACAACTTCAGCACCTAGCTTATATACTGCATTCTCTCTTTTTTTTCTTTTTATAATGGTAATAGCTGCACAGAAGTGAATGAATGACCTATCCTTAGTGCCACTGTAGCCTCAAAACGTTTTATTTGATTTTAACTCTTCTCAGCACTTTTCCCGTGGTTGGTTGCAATTTAGATTTGTCATTGCTTCAAGAACCTCCCTACCTCTGAAATTAGAATGCCACTCCACCAATCTGATTACAACCTCATATCCCTCCTGGTCTCTTATTCTCATTAATATTACTGGTTCAACTGAACCAGCAGATACCCTGTGTCTGTCTTTTTAATATATTTACTAGTGGCCCAGTGCACGAATTCATATCACTATTCCCCCCTTTATAATAGAAGTGTCAACCAAATTCATGATCGACAATGACAGAAACACACATGTGCTATTGGCGCCAGCGAGTGCTTTATGTGTGTTGTGCATGTGCAAGTCAACTTAGCCTTTTATAGATATAGAATAAACTTGCTTAATTAGACCTGCTTTCTGATCTAGCTAAACCTTTTCCAGCCCAGTGAAGCACCCCCAACTTCACTTTCAGGTAATTGTCAGCAACACAGCAGTAAATATCAACACAAAGCAGATTATTATTGTAGATCATGCAAGGAGAACAAAGGGTAAAATATTTAACTGCAGCAGTGTTTGACTATATTCTGCGCAGTGAGAAAACTGGAAGTCATTTTCAAGGTCCATCATTTTTAGTCAGGTCAAGTTTCTAAGCTTTCTAAATCTTCGTTTTCCAGCTAATGAAAAGAAAATAGGATTCCACCGAGTCTCCTATCTACCTACTCCAGGACTTCTGTGAAGATCAAACAAGATGAGGCACAGGAAAATGCTTCACAGACACTCGGTTAAAGTGTAAAGTGTTTCCACCTGGCTATAAAGCAAGTCCTGTTCCTGGGCTGAAGAACTGCAAGGAGGCTAGTCACTAGGGAGAGGAAGCCGGGTGTTGCTACATGACATTACCCGAATGGTTGGACACTTAGCATATTAGCCTTTTATATCTATAGATTCTCCCCCCAGTGTTCACAGGTTAATGTAGAAGTTCATCGTGTTCTTCAAACTTATCTCACCCCTAGCTTCCCTTCTCACATGCCCTTGCCTCCCATTTCAGATATGAATTCTCTACTTCTGACGACAGGGAAGGTTGTTCACCATCCCTTACCTTCAACAATGCTCTTAATTCAGGTATGGTTCAGAATGTTCAATTGCATCAGACAGCAGCTCCAGATATTACGCTGCAGTGTGGTCAATCTGATGTCCATCCCAACCGCCTTGTCCTCTGCCTCACCTCCCTTAGAAAGGGGAAGAGCTGAATGCTTGCTTTCTTTTCTGTGCAGGAACTTTGCCTTGGAACTGCACTCCCAACAAAAACAGATAAACTGTGTACGTTCTACAAATTACATAGTTTTTATTCCATTTAATTTTAATGAAATTGTCGCTACCAAAATCAGACATCTGCACTGAACTGACAAATCTTTTTAGTTTGAGGGTAATAGGGGAAATCTATAGATAATTTTTAAGTCACCTGCCCTGAGTTGGGACAGGCCATGTTATCAGCTGAAAACTTGATCCTTTTTTCTGGTGAGTCTTGGAGGAAGATAGCTCAAGGTCTGAACCCTCTGCTAATACTGCTTAATGGAATCTTAGGCACATTAACCCTTCTGTGCCTTAAGTTTCCTCATTTGTAAACTGACATTAAGTATATTTACCCTTAGTGTCGTTTTGAGAATTAAACAATAGACTTTACTTGGCACATTGTCTAGCACTTGGTAAACACTCAAATATTAGCTAATTTTTGTCCCCATCTGGGGCCCAGACCTCCATGCTAGGGCTCACACCTGCATCCAGGGCCCTGACCCAGACCTCCATTCCAGACCCAAACCTCCATCCCAGACCCAGACCTCCATCCCAGGGCCCAGACCTCCATCCGGGGTCCCACTCTGTCCCACTCCTGGATTGTATAGACAAGACATTTGTCAAAGTAAAAATAGGAAACAAAAAAAAGAAGAAAGAGGAGATCTTCATCGGCTCCTGAAATACTTTAGGGGAGGAAGCTGCTAAAAAATATTTGCCTGAACCACAGTGTGTTGCCTCTGTTAGTGTGTCATTAGTTTCATGAACTCTTCTCCAGGGGTCTCATGTTCTACGTAAGCTTATGAACAGAGAGAGGTACTGCTCTAGAAAACAGGCCCATGTCTGGGTGATTTTTCAAGGATGCTTGTATAATGAACAGCCTTGGAAGAGATAGTGTGTCTCTCTGGGAAGGTTGGTTTACTGTCCAATAAAATAAAGATAATATCTCCCAAAGGGGCAAAGGTCAGGCAGGCCTAGGCCCAATATAAAAGATTGGGTTCCCTATGTTCTGAGTTCCTCATGTAATATAATCCACTGTGTATGCAGGTATTATCTGACCTTCTGGTGTTGGCCTTTGGGAATTAGGGAATTGCTGATACTCTGGCTTCTGTTATTGCAGCAATTAATAAACTCCCAGATGTAGGTCTCAGCCCCAGATGGAGATCTGGGTCCTAGGATGGACATCTGGGCACCCGATACAGGACTGGAACTAGGTTCGAGGTCAGGGTCCTGGGATGGAGTTTTGGACCCTGGCATGAAGGTCTGGGACCCGAATGTAGGTCTGAGCCCCTGAGGGAGGACTGGATACTGGGATGGAGGTCTGAGCCCCGGCTGGAGGTCTGGGCACCCGATACAGGACTGGATTCTGGGTTCATGATCAGGGTCCTGGGATGGAATTCTGGGCCCTGGCATGAAGATCTGGGTCCTGGGATGGAGGTCTGGGCCCAGGATAAAAGGCTTTGTCCTGGAGAGAGGGATGAGTCGTGGGATGGACTTCCGGGCCACTGGTGGAGGTCTGGGTCATGGGGTGAACCTCTGGGTCATGGAATGGAGGTCTGGACCATGGATGAAAGTCTGGGCCCCCAATACAGGACTAGATTCTGGGTTTGAGCTCTGGGCCCA